GAAATTCTGCAGCCCAGCAAGTGTTTTACATCTATTCATCAGGTTTGAGCACATCCGTATTCATGAGAAACAGGTTAGTGATCTAATTATCTAATTAATGCCAGCAAATAATCAATGTTAAGATTGATTTAAAAATACTGCTGTCAATTTTTTTTTTAGAAACTGCTAAGCATGCCACATGAAAGTACAGCCCATTAATTTTTAATAAATGTGAAATGTATGCCTCTTAAATGTGTCTCCGTGTGACTTAACAAGTACTTTATCTTGACTGTGACAAATACGGAGCTCGCATAGCCCACTAATAGAGGAGCTCCTGACAGACACCCAATGAGAAATTGGGAAGCTTTAGTCCTTCCTGCCCAATGACAAGAATACAAATTTTTTGTTTAAAGTTCAGCCAGCGACGGATATAAGCCAGAAGGATCCAGCTTTTCTTTTGATAAAATGGCCATGTACTTTTCATCAGTGCTTTAATGGAGACACAAGTAACATCTAAATATCAAATAGAGGAAAATAAGGCCTTTATCAGCAGAAAATATCCTAGACAACAGGCTTATCATGCCCTACATATGAAGCATCAAAGAGCCTTTTTTTAAACTAAAAGCATAGCTGAAATAAGACATAATGTTAAGAGAAGCTTAACAAAAGACCTCCCTCTGTCTAATTTTTTTCTTTCTGTTTCATTTATTTTTTTTCCATCTCACTGTCTAAATCAATCTTTCTTCAGATATTTTGTTTTGCAGTATTACCCAGGCTTACAAGAAACCAGATCAGCCTCTCAACATCGCAGCGAAATGCACCATAGAAGGACATATTTAAGTGCTGTCCACCGCTGACTTCTGTACGATGAGATAAATCAAACTTTATAGGGAAAAAGCTTTGCATGTCCTAATTGAATGTTCTCATCTGCTCCAAAAAGAACTGTGGTATTTTATATGCTTATTACATTAGAGGAAGCAAAACAAACAAATACCAGCAACATAAATAAGAGGAAAAACATAAAAAGAACCTTAACAGAAGAAAGCTGTATTTTTTGTAGGCTCCATACCCCTCTCTGCTTCCTCCTCCTTCCTCTCTTCATTTTTACTTCCACTCCCTTCTCCCTTTACTTTCTGCTCTAACAAGCAGTTTGATTTCCCCTGGAAAATCTGCACTCAATAAACGTTCTCTCTATCTGTGATGTTTCTCACTGAAGTTTTAACACCAAAGTGAATAATGACACCAGCTAAGCTACTGAAGCCGTTCAGGACCTCTTCCTGTTCTCCAGTGTTTCTTTGTGGGTACGGTATTTACAGGAAACATATGACGCCCCCCCACCACACACACACAACCACACACATAATATATATATGTACATATATATAAGCTGTCATATGTGGATGCACTGTAAATACTGTATAAATCCCATGCACCTTTTTCCTTTGGCACCTTCTTCTTCACTTTTGATTTGAGCTGATTTTGTTGGGATCTCGAGAAGTACCACCTTTCTCCAGCAGAGTGCGCCGTGGGTCTCCTGGGCTGGAGCCCTCCAGCACACCTGGACCTCGTCAGCCCATCAGGAGACCTTCTCTACTTAAGCAGCTGCCAGACCTTCCTTCAACGCCGCAGTGTTGACCAAGTTTGGTTAGCGAACCTGAGCCTCTGTCATTTTAGAGAATCTTAGTTGGAGAGAAACAAGATTCTAACCTGCCTTTGTCTTCTTTGCTCACAGGAAACCCAGAAGCTCTGGATGAGCTTTGCCTGGAAACCTGCCTGCCTACCCAAGGAAGCCAAACCAGAAGAAATCAGTCTGGAATCCTCCTACAGCTCTCAAGGAAGAGCTAGGAAACAGAGTCAAGGTCAGAAACCCAGAAGCTCTGGATGAGCTTTTCCTGGAAACCTGCCTGCCTGCCCAAGGAAGCCAAACCAGAAGAAATCAGTCTGGAATCCTCCTGCTGCTCTCAGGAGGAGAGCTAATCACTCAAACCAAGGTCTGCCACTAGAAAGTCAGAAGCTAGATGCTGCTGCTACTGAGCACTCTGCTGAACCAACAGTCTTTGGACCCAACCGGTTCCCTCTCTCAGACAAGAAAACCTGGACCCCTTCAGGTATTCTCAGAAACATCAGAAACTCAACAAATCATCTGTTAACCTGGCTAACCAATCTATCCGTCTCTGCAGACGCCAGAGAATCCAGCCCGGTCCAGTTCCTGAATCCAGTCATATCATTGTTGTGAAAACCTTTAAATAATTCTGTTGAACTTTTTATCAGTCTCCAGTGGTGTTCTGCATGTGGGTTTAATCCCAAGACCAACCATGACAGATTTAACGATTAAATTTCTCCACTGTGAGAGCCATAAAGTCAACCATTTAATATATCAATCAAAATATATAAATAATGAGGATACAGATATATCAATGAGACAGTTCATATCTAAGTACTTGATTGAATCTGTTTGGAGCAAAATTAACTTTTGTCTCAATCTTTTTCTTTCATTTTTCCTACTACCATATGAGCAATTCAGGGTCGATATGGTATTTTCATTACATGCTTGACGTTAGCAGTCCTTCACTCAGTGTTTGGAGACAAAAGAAAATATGCTCTTCTCTGACCACTACGTCTTCTTTCACATTTTCTGTGTTCCCTGCATGGCTTATAGCAAACTTTAACGCCTCTCTTCCAGGTCAGATTGTGGAAGTGTGATTACAGGTTGTAGTGTTGACAGAATAAACCCCAGAGGCCTTCCTCTAGGCTGCAATTACACTGAGGACTTTTGCTAGCTCTGAACTCTGAAAGCTATGTCTTGGACTCAATTTTGTTGTAAGCCACCAGAATTACAAAGAAATTAATACATATGGATGCGACACATTTAAGCTTTAGAACTTCATAAACTTAAATCATACTCCATTTTCCAAATCACAATGATGTACCTCTTTTGCTGCATCACATAATATCAAAATAAAACACATTAAAGTGCATAGTGTTGTATCCAAACATGTTAATATTATACAGTAAAAAAAATGGGTGTTAAAAATTCAGAGTCAACCTACCTATCTCTAAATTGAGTATTTACAACTATAAGTGTAAATCTGTTTAAGTTTTGGAGTTAGTTATCAGTGTAAAATTTGACAGTCATAGAGTGTAACTTTTACTCTATATGGTGTTCATTACCTGCCAGTCTCTGAGAGGTCTTGGCACTAATATGAGTATAATTTACTACACTAATTTGGAATGGGACCAAATGCTATCTGAAACAAGTTATATTCAACTCTGTAGGTGTCAAAGTAAAACTGTACACCAGGGGTGTACAGGTGCAACTTTTTTATTTCCAATATGATACAGATATTCCAGCTTTGAGTATTGAGTGATACTGATAGTTTGGATGTTAGAACAAAGCTTTATCAGTCAACAGCAATACGCATGAGGGCAACTGACCCATTTATTGTTGACCGATGGGTTACAGAAACTTTAAACAGTAGCAGCTTGCTTATATCTATGATTTGATATGCCAACTGAAAAGTTTTTTTACCGATATCAGATCAATTTCTTCAAAAAACATCGGATTGGGACATCCCTAATTATTCCATTTACTAATATAAGCCTTATTTCTATATATAAATGTACATGCACTTTAATCCACAGAATGGAGGACAGCAGAAGAGTGGAGCGAGAGGCACTCTCTTTGTCCATCTGTTTCACTCTCAACTACAGTCAATAATAATTAGCCCTGTTAAATGTCAATACAAGCTTCCAGTGTAAGTTATATACAGTAGAGCAACATGAGGTGAGTGGGAAAGGGCACTAGAGAAACCAGTGTTTGTACTGATCTTTCCTTGCAAAATGTCAATAATCAACAGCTACCGGTAATTAATATGTCTATCATTAAATCTGCTTATTGTTACTGGACTATCACTGCAGAACCTTTGGTTTGCATATAAAGCTTTACAAATCATATACTAATTATGGCAATGAATCAGTTATATGACGTCTGCCTAAATAAACTCTCAAATACTTTGAAAGCTTTGTAGGTGCAAAGAAAATTTTTAAATGAGAAAAAATGGTAAAGTTCATTTTTGAAAAGTGAAAGTGTAAAATGCTCTAAACAGGAAACCATAAATCAAAACAACAAAGCACTGAACATGTCAAAATTAATACATGACATTGCTGGGTTGTTGTTTTTTGTTTTTTTCCCCCCTTTTTTTTGCACATTTCAGAGGAGCCTGTTTGAAAGCGGAGGACTGACAGACAGCGTTGAATAATAAAGTTCAAAATCCTCACTATTCTTGTTTCAGCTGTAATACTAGAAACCAAGAAAAGACTAAAAAGTCTTCTTCATTCCCACGACACTCCGTGGTAAGTAGAACTGAACAAACTTTGTATAAATGTTTCAGCACCATGGAGAGACAAGAAGAGAAATAGGTCTAAAACCTCTTGTGACATACAGTAGATGCAAAGTGGCAAGATCCTGCAACAATTCTTGACAAAAAATTATTGCAATATCTTGCACCTACTGCATTTTATTCTGGGTCACAACTCTTAAATAAGTCACACTTATTTCTCAATACTTAGAGACGGTGGGCTGTCGTGCACGACAGCCTTGCCTGCACAGCGCTGGATCAGTTATATGGTGCTGCCTGAGGCCCAGGGAGTGTTGCCTCCATGCAGCCATCATTACAGTAATGATCTCCCAATACACAGCTACCATGTGAGGTCACATCTGGAAACTCACTGGGTCTGTACACACACTGTCCTGACTTTCCACATCTAATATGCTTATTCAAAATCTTACAAAAAAAAACGAAGCTGGATATAAAAAAAGTTAGGGTTTTTGTCACAAAAAAGTAATTAAAAAAGCCTAAAAAAATAGCGACCACACAAATTGGAAACCAAATGTTAGTAGCTTATAACATGCTAAGATTTCCCACTTTCAAAGGGGGTTATTCATATTCTAAGCCTTGCGCTGCACATCATTGAATTTCCACTTCACAGAAATATGCATAAAAATTGATCTAGTATCACACCTGTGTCTTCATCGATGGTGAAAGTGCCCAGTCCACTGCCTCCTTGGACAGAGTATCTCAACACGCCATCCCGTCCCCTGTCATCATCTTTAGCTCTGACAGTCAGGACACTTGTTCCTGTGCGAGAGTTCTCCTTCACTGAACCTTTCACAGCAAAGTCGGAGAAGTAGGGAGCATACAAATTTTCATTGACGTCCATCACCTGTAGAAATGAGTGAAATAAGTAATGGTTGGATTTCATTTAAAATAATAAATTGTGTGGATATATTCTGTTTGTCTGCAATCACTGACATAAAAAAGATTATAAGCGATTCTGTTACACACCTCAACCTCCACAAATGTGATGCTTTGAAGGCTTGATATTCCTCTGTCTTCCGCAAGAACAGTCAGGTTAAAGAACTGCTTTGTCTCAAAGTCCAGCTCCTTGCCAATTCTCAGAATACCAGTCACAGCATTGATCTGCACAAAGTGTTTCAATTGTCACAGTCACTTTATTAATTTTCTTTAACATTTAAGAAATAATATCAGTCATAATCACATCGAATAGTAATGAATTATTTTAACCCAGTTATTTAGAACCTGTGCACACACAAACAAAGAGTTTAAAAGGGAAATTAACCAGATGCAAAATATGCTTAGATAGAAAAAAATAAGGGGCTAAAGAAAAAAAAAAAAGGACTGTCCATCATATATTATGAATAAAAAAACGGATATTAAGATATTCTGGTCAGGTTTGGGATTTATAAAAATCAATTTCTCAGTTTTAGAGATGGAAATTAGTATAACCAGCTGATCATGAACAAATCCTTGAAAATTAGGAAATCTTTCCAAACGAGAGTTGTTTAAAGCTCTAGTTAAAACAAAAGCTTGTATGTATTATTTCTCTTTACACCTCTTTAAAGTATTTAAATATTTTAAGTAACCTCAAAATAATTAAAGCAGCACATTGCTTTCTCAGTTTAATTTTCTTTTAACTTTTGTTACTGATTGATTACAGAGAAATAACAGAAAACAGAGGGATTTTGCATATTATTAATTTGGTTTATCTATACGAAACATAAAAGGTTATGTTAACTCTGAAAAGACCTACCTCAAAAGTGCCATTGAAGTCATTGATCAAGGAATATCGCACTTGTCCACCAGATCCAACATCTGGGTCCTGAGCCTGCACCCAGGTAATCACAGCCCCTAAGGGCAGGTCCTCTGGTACCCGGGCACTATAGCTGCTGGGGATGAAAGCTGGAGAGCAATCATTGATGTCCTCCACTATTATGTTTAGAGTAGTCACTGATGACCTTCTAGTGCCTCTTTCAGCCTTGTCTCTTACTTCAATCTTCAGTATGAACATAGATTGTGCTTCTCTGTCCAGCTGACTTGCAACAAATACACTTCCAGTTTCACTGTCAATGCCAAATTGGGGAACATTTGTCAGCATTCTGAAGGAGAATAGACCATTTTGGCCTATATCTCTGTCAAAAGCAGTCATTGCAATTACTTCCATGCCGAGGTCTGCGTTTTCTGCAACAACAGCAGAGTAGTTGTCCTGATAAAATTGGGGAGTATTGTCATTTGCATCCTCAATGATCACAGTCAGCAGTCTCCAGTTAGACATTTGAGGAATTCCCTGATCATAGATGGTAATATTTAGGAAATAGCGATCTATCCGCTCACGATCAAGCGGTTGCAAAACAGTAATCAGGCCATTCTCCATGTTGATATTGAAGCTGTTTTCTTTGTTGCCATCATAAATGGAATAAACCACACGGCCGTTAAACCCGATGTCACCATCTCGTGCTCGTACAAGAAAAACACTGGAGCCAGGACTCAGATCCTCTCTCACAAGAATGCTTGTAGGCAAAGCTTCAAACTGTGGAGCTTGTTTGTTTGTAGAGTAAAGATCTATATACATTTCATCCGATCTTGGTTTGGCCATTGCAGATGCTTTGGAGACCATCTTTTCTGCAAGAAACTGAGCTACCCTGGTCTCCTTGCAGGTGAACCCCCCAGGTGGCATCCTACCTCTCACAACTGATATATTCACGAATGTGGGATCAGATAATATCTCTCCATCTGTTGCAGCCACTCTCAGGTTAAATGTAGGATTTTTCAAGCTGTCTGAGACAAATGATCTTTTCAGTGTTAAAGCCCCTGAGTCAGGATTCAATTCAAAATTGTCTAACTCATTCCCAGACAATATCTTGTACCGCACCATTCCGACCTCATCAATATCTATAGCCGACAAAGTGACGATGGTCTGGTTAACAGGAAAATCACGACTAATCATCCCTCTGCAAGAAATCTTCTCAAAAGCAGGCTTATTATCATTAATGTTTAACACCCGAATGGTGACATTAACCTCTGTTTCTCTTCTATAGGGTGAACCCCAGTCAGAGGCTCGTACTGCAAAAATATATACATCCTCTGACGATTCATAGTCCAGATCTCTAGTGATCCTCAGCTCCCCGGTATCCTCATCTATACTAAATGGAAGAGACTCCTCACCATTGATTGTGTGAGTTACATATCCATTTTCTCTTTTATCACTGTCCACAGCGGACACTACAAGAACAACAGTACCTATAGGTAAGCTCTCATTAATTGCAATATCATAGGATGGCTGGCTGAACACTGGAGAGTTATCATTCGCGTCCTCTATGATAATTTGAACCTTTGCTTGTTGCTGACTGATATAATCAATTACCTCCAACTCAATGAAATCCCAGGATAGCTTTGTCAGCTGCCTTATGGTCATAATAACCCCATTCAAAGGGTTTATCTCAAAGTACATAGGATCCGAGAGGCTGCTAAAACTGTAGTTGACATTTGTGGGTGCTGGGGATATTTTCACCACCTCTACAATAGTTCCTGGGGGAGCGATTTCACTAACCTTGACTGCATAAACGTCTTTCTCAAAGTTTGCCAATATGGGTTCTTGCCTTGTAACCACCAACTGAACAACTTGGGTATTTGAATATTTTGGAGGTAGGCCTCTGTCTTTGGCCTGGAATGTCAAGTTGCAGCCATAGGGATATGTTTCCCAGTAGATCAGTTCTGATGATTTAACCCTATATTTGTTCCCATAAGGTGATCTCTCAATGACAAACTGTTCGAAAGGGTCTCCTTCGATAATAGAAACCCACTCTATGTCCCCTGATAACCCCTCATCTTTATCTTCCACAGTCAAAATGGCATAAATAAGATCCTTGTCCGTCACAGATGGGACAACTGCTACTGCACTAAGGACAGGAGCAAATTCATTAACCCTATCCACAGTTAAGACCAGTCGAGCAGTGCTGCTGACGCCATTATTCCCATATAGTTTCATGCCTCGGTCAACCACCTGCACCTCAAGCTCAAATCTTTCTTTCTTGTCTATCCTGGGTCGACCTGTGAGAGTTATAACCCCACTAGTTGGATGAACAGCAAATAAGTCTATTCTGTTCTTGAAGAAGTAGTAGAACTCCCCGTTTGAGCCAATGTCAGCATCTGTGGCTGTTACACGTCCGATGCTGGTGCCCAGGGGTGCACTTTCAGAGACAACAAATGAATAGAAGGTTGGAGAAAACAGTGGTCGGAGGTCGTTTGTATCCAAGACCTTGATAAATATAGTGGCTAATGCCTCCTGGCCGCTGTGGGCAGACGCCTTGACTGTCAGAGTGTAATTGTCCTGAACCTCCCGGTTCAGCGTGGCACCACTGCCTCCATTAGTGCTTATACGTAGGAAACAAAAATCTCCCATTACAAACTCCTCAGTTTGAAAGATGCCGTCGCTGTCCCCAGACTGAATAGAATATTTCAAGTTTAAAGGCCAGGATGACACAAGCGTGATTCCCATTCTGACCTCACTTGTGATATAGGTTCTTACTGCTGAATTCTCAAAGATTGAAGCATTATAGGATGGCTGGGTGAAGAGCATCAAGCTTTGTCCTGCGCTACGTGTAGATAGGTACTGGGCATCAATAGTAGGGAAAAAGATGAAGATATATAAAATAAAACAAAACAAAACTAGAAAATGGGATAGAGGAAGCATATTTCCCCACAGATTAAGCTTCATCAATATTCCATTAATGAGTCATCCTGTTTAAAAAAAACAACAACAAAGAAAACAGACATTTGGTAAGAAGTTTAAGAAATGTGTACATGCAAAGGATTTTAAAAAGTCATTTTAAGAGTAAACTTACGTGACGCTTCGGCAGTATATATTTTTTGTTATGTGTTAATGACAGCACATCTGGCCATACGCCAGCAGTTTGCATTCTGACTCTGAATTCTGAAAATAATAAAAAAAATAAAATAAAATCTCTGGCACATTTCAAACAGAGCTTTAGCTATGGGTCTTTTTCTGGTTTCATGGTATAATAAGGTGCAAGCATATGTAATCAAACCTGATCATTATTTAATGCTACAATGTTTAGAGTTTTAAGCCATTTTAAGGAGATGAGATTTAATATTAAAATTTCTCATTCTACCGTTCCGATGGCTTAGAGTACTTATGATGGCATGCAAGAAAAAGTGACACACTGACTTGATTTTCCTGCTGCTTAAAGCATGGATTAAGGCGGACCTGCTGTTTTCCACTTGTTGCAGCACAGGTTAGCTAAGCTTATATACTTGCTCTCTAGAAAGATTGTGTCAACTTAAAGTATGTTTTTTTTGGTAAAAAAACATTGATACGTGTATACAAAATGACAAAGTCTACCTATAGAGGGAAAATTGCATTGTCAGCAATATTTTCTTTTCTTTTGCTTTGCCATCACACTGAAATATGTCAAATCATTAAAAAATGCAGTATTTGAAAATGAGGATTTCAATCGTTTAGGCAAAAATGCAATTCAAATCAACCTTGCCCTTTGAGATAAAGTAATTGCAACGTCTGCATAATTGTAAGAAGTGGCAATGAATCTTTTACATCTCTGTGGTGGGATTTATACCACTACCATTTGAAGAGCTATTTAAATTTAGCCACATCGAAAGGAGCATGACCATATGTCTATTTTACTGTGCAGCACTTTGGAAACATTTTTGTTAATAAAAATGTGCTATATAAATAAAGTGGATTGGATCGTATTTGATGACCAGCCTGTATTAGAGCACATCACAGCATCTCAGTTGGATCTAAGTCCCAGCATTGACTACAGAACACTACTCAAAATTTTCTATTTTTTTAAGGCATTCAAAGGACTTGATGTGGTTTATGCTGTTTTAATATTTAAGCATGTTTAAAGAGTCACAGCCTGCTTACTGAATCTTTCCCTTCAGATTTCTTTTTGTATATATACAAAGCCTTTTAATCACTTACAGCAATCGTCCACGTCTTAAAGAAACAAAGCAGCCAAAGTTCATCATACGACCACCACTTGATGCACACTTTTATTCTTGACATTATTTTATCTCCTCCTAAGAAGTTAATTTCTGTATTTTCTCTCTGTGGTCTATGGCTATTAATGTAAATCACTTAAGTCAAAAATCCTTTCAAATTTCTTTGTCACCCTCTTAAGATTGACTGATACCTATTACATTAATCTCTCATCTGTGCTTGAAAAACTTTAGATGGTGATCTTATGTACTGTAAGATATTTGAGTTTAGTTTAGTTTAGAGAGGTTCTGATTAAGGTATTTTAATTGTAACAGTTCACATTATCAGTGCGGGTGCGGCTGTTGACGTCTAAGCAAAAGTGTAATAATAGAAATTAATGGGTGGGTGGTCTTTTTTATTCTTTTCCTTACTAAATAAGGTAATTTATCGAGAGATTAATTTATTTTTAATATTTTTTGCTGATATTAACATTTTGTAGATTTGAAGCGATAAAAAAGGCAATTAGGAAATCTAAAAAAAAAGGGGGGCACTTTTTCATAACACTAATCCAATCTTTTTTATATCAATTTTCGCTTTTAAATAATTTAGTAAAATAAATGGATATCATATTTTGATAATCAAATGCCATCCCATGCACAATATTTATTTAAATATTAAAAATATGTGTATTTTTTACAGAATTTATTTATTTTCTTGCTGCCTCGGTGATCTCCTGCTTATTTTTCTCTCTAGTTTAACAATGCTGAGATTCAATGCATATGTTCACTTTCAGCTTCAGACATGAATCGGACTAGTTATATCGTAGTAACATCAGATCCGACCTAATCTTAATCCAAGAACAGAAAACAAACCACTGACTGACGGTCCCGTCAATGCGGCTTCAGTAAAGCTCGCCTTTCTACAGAAAGCACAGAGTTTTTGCCAGTTTCAAACGAAAATCTGTCCCTACATGTTTGTCTGGTAGCTATTTGTTCACAAATTGCAAAGTGTCCTACCTTTTGATGAAACAGAAGAGACCGATGAAAGTAAATCCGTGTCCATGCTCCTGCACGAATGAGATTAAAAAATTGTATATAAAATAAGAAATAAAAAAAAACACACGCAAAACAGACGAGTGTGATAACAGAAAAAAAATATTTGCAACCTTATATGAGTCTGCTAGAATGCTGCCTTCATCATTTAACTAAACAAATATTGCCCCAGTTGTTTGCACCTGACTGAAGCACCTCTGTGTGCAGAAAACTGTATGCACTGGCAAATTGACCTTACAGTAGTAATAGATCGTTTGTTGCAAGGTTACAGTCCGTGGCCACCGCGCTGCCATCAAGATCTATGGCAAGTTTCAAAGCGTCCAGCATCAGTTGCCGCTGATGTGGGACCACGCTCACAGGCTGGAGCTAGGGGGCGCGCGCTCCCCGATTTTTACCGAGTGTAGCCGACAGAAGCCGGAAGTGAGAGCAGGGAAGCGGCACAAGGGGAGCTAAACAGCAGCAGCGGCTCAACTCTGTCTCTCTCACACAGACTCCCAAGTTAGTGTTTGGTTAAAACTTGCTGCTACCGTCATCATGTCTGTTTTGTGTTATAATAAGGGATGCGGACAGCGGTTTGATCCGGAAAACAATCCAGAGGGTGAGTCGTGCTTTATGGTTAAGTTAGCTGTGAGGCTGACAGTTTATAGCAAGCTAACCTCTGATCATCTGGAAATTTCTACAGCAAGCAGGCCTGATGGGCCCATGGTAGCTAACTTCACGTCAGGTTTTAAGACCTATTTCATTACAACTCCAACAAGAAACTTTAGTTATCTAGGAAGAAACGCTTTTTATAATTCAAGGCTAGCATTATCCCTAATACTAGCTCGGTTGGTTAGCAACTTAGTGTTTGACTTTTTGGACAAACTGTGGAGCATACACTGCTAAAAGTTTCATGAACACGTTATTATACATTTTAATTACACATGATGCTTCGCTCCTTTATCTCCCCCCAAAACTTCACTTTTGACGACCATAGTTTCCTATCATTGTCGTGTTACACGTATAAAGAAGCTTCTGGACCTTTTGGACTTTTTTTTGTTACTGGATGAGCCGTTACTTAGCAACCGACTTCTACACGAGACAAGATAAATCAAAGAGAGAAATTTTTATTAACCTTTTCCTGTTCTTTAAATGAATCAAATCCGAAAACTCTTCAGTTCAACTCTGTCACGCATTTTTACCTGAACGTTTAAGTGTTTTGAAAAGCCTTGTAAAACATTAATTTCAATCCCATTCTTTTCCAGATAGCTTTTAGATATAGACAAGTCTAAACAAATAAAAGCCTGATAACGTCATATCAAAAAAAAAAAATACATATAAAAACAACCAAATGCAGCCACAGAAACCAGTGTTAAATGCAGAAGACTATTACTAAAACCTCTAATGTACTTATCCCAGTGTTGTCCCTGGACAACTTTATCAGTTTTAAATTTAGTGTATCTGGTTTAAATTGTATAAATTAATGATTATGGTTCAGTGCTTAAACAAGTGAATCCAAAGTTATTGTTAATAAATTAGTTATGGTTTATGTATTGGTTGATTTATGGAATAAATAGTATAACAATATTTAAAGTCGAGGGTAAGTCATATTCTGGCTTAAACATGCATATAAATGTACTCTTTATCAGACTATATTGTCCCAAAATGTAGAACATTTCTATTTTTAAAAAAATCCTGTCTTAAAATCTGTGTTGTTGTTTTCGGAAATGCAAAGGTTGGTACGGCCACATCCCTGCGACTTAAACCATGGCATCCTACATTTAGTATATTGATTATGTAAGCATATAGCATTTGCAAGTGAGAATTTTGATAGAAAGTTTGTCCAGTGAGACTACATCCACATGGAGTCGAATAAGGTATCAACGAAGAGAACACTCAAGTGTAAAGTTGAAAACGCCTGAAGCTGTAATGGGCATCTTAATACCATACCAGTGGGTGGTGGGCTAGCACTGAAAACACAGGTAAAGAAGGTAAAAGAGTGAGGGGAGAAATAGGCAGTATGCAATGAAGGAGGAAGAAGAAAATATAGGCGTTTGTTTGGAGGAGCACCAGGTAGTCGGTGTAAGGTCCTCAACAATAGCTTCTAAAGCAAAACTGCAACACCGAAGTTCATCAACGTTGTGGTTTATGTTGGAACACAAGTGTGAAAAATGGTGAAGACTATTAGCTTTTATGCACAAACAACGCAGTGTGTACATTTGGATAGATTTTCGGCCGCTTTTTCTGATGCAAGCCTTAAAGAAGAGAAGCTTGTCTTATACACTCAACGCCATCTTGGTCTGGACTGGGCCTTAAAGTAGTAGTAGGCTGGTATTCCCCTTTTATTAAAAAAACAAGATTTTTTTTTTCTGTAAATAAAATAAGATAAAAAAAACAACAACTTATTTGCTAACTAATGTCAGGATTAAAATGATAAAAGATAAAAATCTGAGCTAGTATTAAAGCTATATTTAACTCTGCTTTGGAATAAAACATTTAAACTGGCAGAATGTATTAAATATTAAGCTGCCACTTAACTCCCTTGTTTGCCTCTGCTGTACCTGTAGACTTTGACTACATACCTGCAGCAAATAAAAGCTAGATTTATTTCACATTAATAGGACACAAACCTTCAGTATGGTTTGCGTTGGTTTTACATCTGAAGCATAATAAAAGGTCCAATTTAAAACAAAGATAGAGCTGTATGTAGTCTGAACAGCCTGTAAAGCAGTGCTACACACTGTCAGCTGCACAATAACATCGCTGTCACCAAGTATTTACCTTTAAGGCTAAATGTTGCCTCTCTTTTCTGTACACTAAAGTATGATTATTTTCATTTTACAGCTTTCGGTCAGAACACAGGTTGAAGAGATGAGGGATTTTTTTTTCTTCTTCAAATAAAAGAGCTGTATCTTTATGTCCAAAGTTCTTTAGAAATTTTTTAAGAAAGTTTATGTTTATACCCAACACGATAGGTACAATAATCTCCAACTACCATTGAAACTGTGATATGTAAACTGTGCATAGAGTGCAGAGTTTTGGCAGACGTTAGGCACCACTTATAAAGTTATTGGTCACCATGTCAGTCAGTCTGATAAAGCTCAATACTCTGTTCTAAAACAAACTCAACCAATCGCAGCATGGGAGGCAGGCCAGCCCATAATGCAATACAGCTTTACTGCAGCCATAAAGCTGAATTCCCAGCAGACAAAGCCAACGGTGAATTCCAGTTGGTGAGAGCTATCACTGTCACTCTTTCCACCAACTGTTATTCCCGCCTTTAAAATCAGGCTCTACCTACCTTTTTCCAGGCGAATATACTGTATACAGGATGCATAAATTAGTCCACAAGTAGCTTCTCCCATCAAGTGATTGGTTTTTCCACTGTTGATATACCGGTAACTCACCACTTCTGGAACTGGCTGGTCTCTAAACCAGAGGGTAGCAGCAGTGATACCATAATGAGGAATGTCCTGGTTGTACATTTTAAGGTTACTATATTACCCATAAATTGAGAGCAATTAATTTTTCACAACAATATACCACAAATGCAGAGGATTATTACAGAAGAATAACTTCTCAACCCATGTAATTATATATATTGTGTTGAAGTATAAATTAAACAGCACTGATGTTTAAGTATGTGCATAGCTGTATTAACAAGAACCTCTTGAAAAACCAGTCAGCTTTCAGTGATTTTTCTGTTGGTTTATTTTGATCCGTGTGGATTGATCTGGTTTTTGCACGTATTAATTTTCTGCCATCCCTCAGTGTAGATTGGTCCATGCTGGGCCTCCTCTATGAAAATGTTCTGGAACCATCACTGCTGATAAAACCTTAGCTTTTGTTTTATTTGTACTATTTTTAAAGAACGTTAAACTTGTATTAATTCAGATTTGTACTGCTTATTTGTAGAGGTTTTATCAATACCTTTTTCTTTTCTTTTTTTTTTTTTTTTTACTTTTTTCTGCTTTTAAAGAGCTATAACTGGCAGGGGACACAAAGTCTGAACTTTTCAAATGAATAATGTAACACATACATTTTACAATCGTTTTTTTACTTTAAACCAAAGGGTTTATACCTTAGGAAGTTTTGTTATATATCTACTCGGTGTGTGCTACGTGCAGTGACATCGTAATCAATGAGAACAAATGTATAATATTGGAGACTGAAAGTTTTAATACCACTAAAAGAGACATCCCTCATATTTTAACTTTTTTTATATATATTTATGACCTTGATATGAAAAGATCCAGTCATTGAGGTGTTACTATTTTTATCATGGTGCTCATTTGGGGATGTCAATTACTCGCTTTTCCAAACTCCTGAGGTTTGGTCTTAGTTTCTCACACACTCATGAGCGTGGATTAAAATCGTAGTCTTTCCTTCAAAGATGTGCAATTATCTGCAGCAAACCAATGAAAAACCATTGGGAGAAATAATGCTCATCAAGGCAATCCATGCTTGAATCTCCTTTCATTATGAAACACCCCAAGAGTAAGTTGGTTTATTATGCGGGTGTTTATGTGAAGCTACAGGTTAGGAAGCAATTGAACTGTTAAGGATTATTTAAAAAGTCTTCCTCCTTCTTCAAGCTGTCCAATACTTTGCTTTGCTGGGACACTTAAAGCCAGAGTCAAAGTCTAATTTCCATTTTAATAGGATGTCTCTTTATCATAACAGTAGAGTATATTATAATTACCTTTAGGGATATCTAAGTGGTGTATCTATGGCAATAGCACGAAATAGGCTTAGCTCAGGCGGCACTTCATGGTAAGTGATTTATCACTTATTGTCTGCCACTATGTTTTTTGTTCTAATTTGTTTTTTACACAGTGATTTGTTGGTGAAGGGCTTTATATAATACTATATATGGGTATTAGGTAATTTTACTGTACAAAATGTTCAAATTGACATATTAATCCTGTTTTCTTGATCAAATCAACAATGTTTTTTCTTTGGCCTTTGTTCAGCAACATTAATTTCAAAGTATTTTTTTTTCAATATTAAATAAGGAAAGCTCCTATGTAATTAGAAGTCATAGATATTCAAGGCCTTACAAGAAATTATCTGTAATCTATCAACAGATCAAATAAGTATATGAAAATACGGGCCACAATATTCTGATTGGTGCATCTCAATGTGTAATAACATTTCCTTGCAGGAGAACAGGTGATGGAATCCACCAATCTGCATAGAAAATCTTCATTATCGTGATCCTGCATATTTAATAAAGTTGTTGAGACTCTATTACAAAGACTAAGTTATTCAACCTTTAGAGCGTGGCCTCTTCTCTGCCTTCAATCCACTTTTAAATCCAGTTCTAAGCTTATTTCAAGTCTTCTAAAAGACTTAA